CAGCCAAACACTGGAACTCCTCTTGCCTGTCCTCAAGGACGTCTGTGCCAAGGGCACACTCACCCCCGACGGACGGAGGACAGACAGACTGAGACTCAGCAACAAGACTTGCAGCGTAGTCTAGACGACAGCGAGCAGCAAAGTCGACGAGCTCAGCAACCAGGGCAGACGCAACAGTGGACTCAAAGGAAGGGTCGGTGACAACAGTAGCAAGGAGACGCGTGACAGTAGGACTGGCAGCACGAAGAGAGTCCGAATCCGGGTCGACGTGTAAACGTGGCCAAGTGTCGGCCCGTCCGAGCGTCCGTGCAGTGGGTCACCCGCTGGCTTGCAGGAGTGAACTGGTGAACTCTCCCATCCTGTAGGTCAGCACCACTCACCAAGTTCGTAGAGAACGAGGGGAGGTAAAGACCAGACAGGGTGCCAGAGGGGGCCGGCGGACACGGGAGGACAGTGGAGAAGTGAGCAAGGACAGGACCCCCAGAGGGGTCTGCCAGAGAGACTGCAACTGGCCGACCAAGCGGCGTGAGTGTTGTGCGGTCTTGAAAGATGGAGCGAGAAGCTACCGAGTCAAGGGTGAAGGTGAGGGAGGCCGAAGCCGACGCAGTAGCTGAGAGAGCAGACTCACCAGCACCTGAGGAAGCAGACACACTAGCACCTAGAGCAGTAGCCTCGCTAGCACCTAGAGCAGCCTCACCAGTACCTAGAGCAGCAGTCCCAATGCCCGGGTTGGGCGGAAAACACCGGTAACAGTCACCCTCATCACTAATAATCACAGCATACATGGCCGCAAGAATAGCATCAAAGTCAAGGTCAAAGATAGCTACTCCCGCCCTAGACAGCTCGCCCCAGCTAGGGATCTTAGTGGCCTCCGGGAACTGGTGACGCCAAGCGTCCGTCAGGCGGCCAAAGCAGCGCTGGGTGGAGTGCGCACCCCCGCACTGCTCACCCGCGCGGTCGCCTATGCGTAGGACGTAGGTGCACGGACCAGTACCCCCACCCTGCTGACGTGCAGCGTACCACTCACGAAGCTGCTGAGGGGCGGGGATCTCACGAGTCCGCTGCTGCTGCTGCTGCTGCTGCTGCTGCTGTTGCTGCTGCTGGCGCTGACCGCCACCGGAGCCGACCCTCTGCGCAGCGCCACCCCGACCAGCTCCACCTCCTCCGCCGCCGCCTCCTCCACCGCCGCCACCTCCGCCACCTCCGCTCCCACCGCCACCGCCGCCCCCGCCTCCGCGTCCACTGCCGCTACCGGCGCCTCCACCCCCGCCACCACCCCCACCGCCACCCCCACCCCCTCCGCCGCCTACACCGCCGCCTCCACCGCCCCCGCTAGCTCCTCCAGCGCCCCTGCCCCCCTTGCCCTTGCCAGGGCGGCGTCTCTCGCTAGGGGCAGACGTCGCACCGACCGACTCAAGACCAACGAGGTCGGCCACAGCAGCAGAGGCAACAGAGGGCAAGAGAGGAGAGGGGGAGCACCCCTCAAAGACAGGGGCACGAGGGTCACCACGAGAGGCTCCTACAGCGACTATGCTCTTCTCTGCTGCTAGGAGGCGCTCCTCGAGAAGGTCAACGGTGAGGGTGGTGGGGCAAACAGAGAGAAAGTGATCCCTGACCGGGCGAAGGGTGTCAGGGAGCCGGGTGACTATGTAGTAGAGGGTGATGTACATAGGGGGGGGGGGTTCTTGGCGCAGAACTCAGCGGGAAGGGCAGCGTGGTAACGAATGTCAGTACTGCGAAGGTGCGTAATGAGGTCAGGGACTGTGGGAAAAGCGGCAAGGTCAGGGAAGAGGTATGGCAGGATGAGGCGGCTAAGTGCAGCAGTGGCAGGGGAAGAGTAGCGTGCAACTACAACATCGTACAAGGTCCTAGCACTCTTGTACTGGCTAAAGTGTGCACACTCAGAGGTAGGCTAGTGGCAACGCACAGCAAGACGTGCAGCAGCATCGGGTGTGGCCCACTGTGAGTGAACAGTGGCGTCAGCATCAGCAGCAGGGGCAGGAGAGGCACCAGAAGTGAGGTCAAAGAGGGAGAGACCGTCTGCCCTATCGCACTGTAGGAAAAGCTGCAGGTCATCTACCCAGACGTCAAAGTCAATGGCCCGACCCTCAACGTCAAAAGCGAGGACACTGGGGGTAGCCACGACAGCAGTAGACTAGCAGCGCGAGCAGTAGGCTAAGGGCAGTGCAGGGGTAGAGGTGCTGCTCTTACCAGTCAGGCGAGAAGGACCGAGGCCCGCCGGCAGGAACAGGGCCGCGTCGGCAGTGACCGGGTGTAGCGGATAGGGCGGCTCTGACGGCTCGGCGGCTCGGCAGCAACAGCAGCTCGGCGACTCGGCGGCTCGGGCGGCTCGGGCGGCTCGGCGGCTCGGGCGACTCGGGCGGCTCGGGCGGCCCGGCTGGAGCGGCGGCTCGGTAGTTCGGGCGGCTCGGCGGCTCGGGCGGCTCGGCTGCTGCAGGGATAGTGGCAGCCGCTGCTGCAGAGAATGCGGCGGCCGCTGCTGAAGGGACGGCTGCAGGGCCGGGTGGAGCGGCGACGAGGCCGATAAGGGTGGCGGCGGGGCCACGAAGGGTGGCGGTCGGCGCCGCGAGGGTGGGGCCGCGGGGTCGCGAGGGTAGGGCGACGGGGCCGGTAGGGGCGGCGCCTGGGCCGGTAAGAGCGGCGCCGCGGCCGTGAGGGTGGGGCGACGGAGCCGCAAGGGCGGCTCAAAGAGGTCGCGAGGGCGGCACGAAGGGGCTGCGAAGGCGGCGCGAAGGGGCCGCGAGGGCGGCGCGATAGGGCTGCGAGGACGGCGCGACGGGGCGCGAAGGCGGTGCGACGGGGCTGCGAAGGCGGCGTGACGGGGCCACGAGGGCGGCGCGACGCGCCGGGGTCGCGAAGGCGGCGCGACGGGGCCGCAAGGGCGGCGCGACGCGGCGGGGCCGTAAGGGCGGTGCGACAGGGCCACTAGGGGCCGAGAGAGAGGGGAGCGCGACTCGGGCAGGGGCTGAGTGCGCTCCGGGCAGGAAAAAAATATCGGTGGGCCCTAAGAACAGTTCCCACGAGGGAACCTGGTCGATACCATGAGAAAACTGAAACGAGAATGAAATGACTAAGTGAAAGTTGGGTACAAGTATGAACCCTAGAAAGCTGCACCCCATATGTGCTACCCCACTATTGCTTACAGTAGCTATGTCATGTAAATCTGACAATAGGGAGTACAGTTGTTAGGTTTGCATATTTGTACTTCCACACTTCCTAGTTTCATCATTCCGTTGCATTCCTATTCTGGGATGGTATCACGAGTAGGCTAGATCCTCGTTCGTTTTTTTTTTTTTTTTTTTTTTTTTTTTTACTAGCCTCCACGCCCTACGCGCCCTCCGTGCTCTCACGCCGTCCGCGCCCTCCGCGCCCTCCGCGCCCTCCGCGCCCTCCTCGCGCCTAGCCCGCGCCCTCCCGCGCTGTCCAGCCTGTCCCGCGCCCTCCTTAGACCTCAGCGCGCCCTCCAAAACCGTCGTGCGCCCTCTTTATACCGCCGCGCGCCCTTCCTCAACCGTCGCGCGCCCTCCTTAGATCGTCGCGTACCCTCCCCTCCGCCTGTCTCGTGCCCTCTTCCGTCAACGCTTCCCGCACACCAGCGTGTGCTTACCGCACCCCTGCGTGCACTTACCACACACCTGCGTGCGATTACCGCACACCTGCGTGCACTTACCGTATCACTCTGTGTGCGCTTCCCGTGTCAGAACATTATAGCTTATGCTGTTGTGTAGGCTATAGTGGGGTATCCCATAGGGGGTACAACCCAATTAGGGTTTCCTATATGTACTCACTTCATTCATAGTTCATTCATTCTCGTTTGCATTTCCACATGGTATCGAGCAGGTTCCCTCGTGGGAACTGTTCCTAGGGCCCACCAACAAATTTTTTTTTCTGCCCCGGGTGCGTCCTGTCCCCCCCCCTACCCGAAGCGCTCCTGCCCTAGCGGCGGCCCCTAGCGGCCCGTCGCCTTTTCTGCGCGGCCCGCCACCGCCCCTTGTGGCCCGCCGCCGCCCTTCTCTTAGCGGCCCGCTGCCGCCCTAACGCGGCCCGCCGCCGCCCGCTCTGCAGCGGTCCGTCACCGCCCTAAAGCGGCCCGCCGCTGCCCGCTCTGCAGCGGCCCGTCGCTGCCCTAAATCCGGCCCGCCGCCACCCTAAGGGAGGCCCGCCGCCGCCCTTCCTACAGCGGCCCGTTGCCGCCCTAAAGGAGGCCCGCCGCCGCCCGCTCTGCAGCGGCCCGTCCCCGCCCGCAGCGGCCCGCCGCCACCCTTTCCGCAGCGGCTCTCCGCCGCCCTACGCGGCCCACCGCCGCCCTTTCCGCAGCGGCCTGCCGCCGCCCTAAGCGGCCCGTCGCTGCCCGTTTTGCAGCGGCCGGCCGCCGCCCTAAAGCGGCCCGCTGCCGCCCTGCTGCGGCCCACCGCCGCCCGCTCTACAGCGGCCTGTGGCCGCCCTAAGCCGGCCCACCGCCGCCCTTTCAGCAGCGGCCCACAGCCGCCCTCAAGCAGCCTCACCGCCGCTCTCTCCGCAGCGGCCCGCCGCCGCCCTAAAGCGGCCTGCTGCCGCCCTACAGCGGCCCGTCGCGGCCCTTTCTACTACGACCCGCCGCCGCCCTAGCGCAGCCCGTCGCCATCCTACCCTACAGCGGCCTCGCCGCCTCTCGGCCTGCAGCGGCACCGCCGAGCCGCCGAGCCGCTGCGCCGCCCAGCAGCAAGGCCGCCCAGCAGCCAAGCCGCCCAGCAGCTGAGCTGCCCTGCAGCCGAGCCGCCCAGCAGCCGAGCCGCCCAGCAGCCAAGCCGCCCTACAGCCGAGCCGCCCAGCAGCCGACCGCCCTGCAACCAAGCCGCCCAGCAGCCGAGCCGCTCCGCAGCTGAGCCGCCGAGCCGCCCTACTTCCGACCTCCCTGAGATGCCCAGTCTGGTGAGCACAGTCCCTCTTTCACTGCACTCCCCTCACCCTACTGCTTGCACTGCTAGTCTACTGTCGTCATGGCTACCCCCAGTGTCCTAGCTTTTGACGCTGAGGGTAGGGCCATTGACTTCGAGGTCTGGGTAGATGACCTACAGCTGTTCTTACAGTGCGATAGGGCAGACGGTCTCTCTCTCTTTGACCTCACCTCTGGCGCGTCCCCTGCCCCTGCTGGAGATGCTGACGCCACTGTTCGTTCCCAGTGGGACACGCGCGACGCTGCTGCACGTCTTGCTGTGCGTCGCCACCTCCCTACCTCCGAGCGTGCGCACTTTAGTCAGTACAAGAGTGCTCAGACCTTGTACGACGCTGTAGTTGCACGCTACTCCTCCCCTGCCACTGCTGCACTGAGCCGTCTCATGCTGCCGTACCTCTTTCCTGACCTTGCTGCCTTTCCTACAGTCGCTGATCTCATTACGGACCTCCGCACTAGTGACACTCGCTACCGCGCTGCGCTTCCTGCTGACTTCTGCGCCAAGAACCCCCCCCCCCCATGTACATCACCCTCTACTTCATAGTCACCCGCCTCCCTGACTCCCTTAGAGTAGTCAGGGACCATTTCCTAGCTGTGTGCCCCACCACCCTCACCATTGACCTCCTCGAGAAGTCCCTCCTAGCGGCGGAGAAGAGCATAGTCGCTGTAGGAGCTTCTCGTGGTGACCCTCGTGCCCCTGTCTTTGAGGGGTGTTCTCCCTCCCCCCTCTTGCCCTCTGTCGCTTCTGCTGCTGCTGCCGACCTCGTTGGTTTCGATTCGGTCGGCGCTGCGTCTGCCCCTTCGGGGAAGCGCCGCGCAGGCAGGGGCAAGGGGGGCAAGGGCGCTGGAGGAGCTGGCGGGGGCGGTGGAGGTGGCGGTGGGGGCGGCGGAGGGAGTGGGGGTGGTGGAGGGAGTGGTGGAGGAGGTGGGGGTACCGGTGGCGCCAGTGGGGGTGGAGGCGGCGGCGGTGGCGGAGGGAGCGGAGGCGGCGGCGGTAGCGGAGGCGGCGGTGGTGGTGGAGGCGGCGGTGGTGGCGGAGGCGGCGGAGGCGGCGGAGGAGGCGGAGGAGCTGGTCGCGGATCTACGCAGAGGAGTGGCTCCGGTGGTGGTTCGCGCCAGCAGCAGCAGCAGCGTGGTCGTGAGACCCTGTCCCCTGAGCAGCTCCGTGAGTGGTACACTGCACGCCAGCGGGGTGGGAGTTTTGGTCTGTGCACCTACGTCCTGCGCACCGGCGACCGTGCGGGTGAGCAGTGTGGGGGTACACACCCCACCCAGTGCTGCTTTGGCCGCCTGACGGATGCGTGGCGTCACCAGTTCCCTGAGGCCACAGAGATCCCTCGCTGGGGCGAGCTGTCTAGGGCGGGAGTAGCCATCTATGTTCTTGATTTTGATGCTATCTTGTCTGCCATGTACTCTATTACTATTAGTGATGAGGGTGATTGTTACCGGTGCTTCTCGCCCGATCCGGGCATTGAGACTGCTGCTCTAGGTAGTGGGACGACTGCTGCCCTAGGTGCTTGCGACGCAGCTGCTTTAGGTGCTAGTGCGTCTGCGTCCTCAGGTACTGGTGAGTCTGCGCTCTCAGGTACTACGTCGGCTTTGGCCTCCCTCACCTTCACCCTTGACTCTGGGGCTTCTCGCTCCTTCTTTTGGGACCGCACCACACTCATGTCCCCCCCCGGTAGACCCCCTCCCCCCTCAGGGTCCTGCCCCTTCAGGTGTGTCCCAGGTAGACACAGTCGAGCCTATCGGGGTTACTGGTGACTCTGGTGCTGCTGAGAGTGCTGAGCCTGGGGGTGCTGCGACTGGGGATACTGAGCCTTGGGGTGCTGAGCCTGGGGGTGCTGAGTCTGGGGGTGCTGCGACTGGGGGTGCTGAGCCTGGGGGTGCTACGCTAGGGGGTGCTACGCCTGGGGGTGCTGTGCCTGGGGGTGCTCAGCCTGGGCGTGCTGAGCCTGGGGGTGCTGAGCCTGGAGGTGCTACGCCTGGAGGTCCTTTGGGTGCTTCATCTCGTCGGGAGCCACTCTCTCCACCGGAGCTGCGCGAGTGCTTTGCCCGGCGCTGGAGGCGTGTTGCTGGAGCTGGAGGTTCTTCAGCTGCTGAGGGTGCTGGTGCCGCGGGTCCCGGAGGTGCTCGTACTGGGAGTACTGGAGCTGCTGGGTCTGCGGTTTCGACTGAAGCTGGTGCTGCTGCGGGCGTTGGTGCTGAGCCTACTGCTTGCGGTCCTGCTGGGGGTACTACTGGTGCTGCTGGAGTTTCTGGAGCTGCTGGAGGTGCTGCTGGAGCAGGTGCTCCTGCTGGGGGTACTGGTGCTGTCCCTGCTGTGTCTGGCGTCGCCGCGCGGCCTCGACCGTACTTCGTTCCACTCCTGCAGCAGGTTCTTGGTCTTCCACCTTCTACAGGTCCTCCTTCTTTAGAGTGTCCACAGCCTGTCCCGTCACAGCTATAGTTACAGCCTGCCTCCCCACTACCTGATCCCTCTCCCTACACTGGTCCTACTAGAGGTCTTGCTGAGCGTCGTGAGCCTGCGTCTCGTCCTGCGTCGCCTGTTCGTGCTGCTCGCACTAGTGGTCGCGGTTCGCGTCAGCGTCCTCCTCCTGTCCCTGGCACGCACCAGATGTCTCTGCGTCCGTCAACTGCTCCTCTACCTGCCCCTTTTCCTTCTCCTCCTGCGTCCTCTCTTCCTGGTCTTGCCGACCCGGAGTCAAACTCTCTTCGTGCTGCCAGTCCTACTGTCACGCGTCTCCTTGCTACTGTCGTCACTGACCCTTCCTTTGAGTCCACTGCTGCGTCTGCCCTAGTTGCTGAGCTCGTCGACTTTGCTGCTCGCTGTCGCCTAGACTACGCTGCTAGTCTTGTCGCTGAGTCTGAGTCTGTCTGTCCTCCGTCCGTCGGGGGTGAGTGTGCCCTTAGCACGGACGTCCTTGAGGACAGGCAGGAGGAGTACCAGTGTCTAGCAGCTGCTTCACCTCATCTCGTGTCCGTACTGCTTACCCCTGAGGGAGACCCGGATGCACTTGACATCCCGACTCCGCGCTCTTACGCGGAGGCGATAGAGGGTCCCTACTCCTCTCAGTGGCAGGCAGCTATGGATGCAGAGATGGCTTCCTGGAAGTCCAAAGGCACCTACGTTGACGCTGTTCCCCCTCCTGGGGTGAACATAGTCAGTGGCATGTGGATTTTCAGGGTGAAGCGGCCGCCGGGTTCTCCGCCTGTCTTCAAGGCACGGTACGTGGCTCGTGGCTTCAGTCAGCGGCAGGGAGTTGACTACTTTCAGACCTTCTCTCCCACCCCGAAGATGACCACTCTTCGGGTGCTACTTCACGTTGCTGCTCACCGTGACTACGAGCTGCACTCCCTCGACTTGAGCACAGCTTTCTTGCAGGGCAGCCTTCACGAGGAGATCTGGCTGCGTCACCCACCTGGCTTCACTGGGTCGTTTCCTCGTGGTACCCAGTGGAGTCTCCGGCGTCCAGTTTACGGTCTCCGCCAGGCGCCCCGTGAGTGGCACGACACACTGAGGACTACACTTGCGGCTCTTGGGTTTGCTCCTTCTACTGCCGACCCGTCGCTGTTTCTGCGCACCAACACTTCTCTGCCGCCTTTCTACATCCTCGTGTACGTCGACGACTTGGTCTTTGCCACTGCTGACACTGCTGGACTCGCCTACGTGAAGTCCGAGCTACAGAAGAGACACACGTGCACAGACCTGGGTGAACTGCGTAGCTACCTTGGCTTGCAGATCACCCGGGACAGAGCACAGCGCACCATTACTCTAACTCAGTCACACATGGTGCAACGGGTCCTTCAGCGCTTCGGCTTCACGTACTCCTCGCCTCAGGCCACTCCTCTGCATACTCGCCACTCTCTCTCAGCTCTGCCTTCGGATGAGTCCGTAGAGTCAAGTGGCCCGTATCCAGAGCTTGTTGGCTGCCTCATGTACCTGATGACCTGCACTCGACCTGACCTTGCATACCCTCTTAGCATTCTCGCACGCTATGTTGCTCCTGGGAGACACCGACCAGAGCACATGGCTGCAGCGAAGAGGGTGTTGCGCTACTTGTGCAGTACGTCGGGCATTGGGCTAGTGCTTGGAGGGCGCAGTCCAGTGGTCCTCACTGGACACGCAGACGCTTCCTGGGCTGACGATCAGGCTACGCAGCGGTCGTCACAGGGTTACACCTTCAGTCTTGGTTCCGGCTCTGTCTCTTGGCGAGCTACTCACTCGTCTTCTGTTCTCGGCTCCAGTTGTGAGGCTGAGATCTACGCCGGGGCCATGGCTGCACAGTTGCTTCGCTGGCTCACCTACCTGCTGACCGACCTTGGAGAGCCGCCTCGTTCTCCTCCAGTTCTGTACGTAGACAACAAGGCTATGCTGGCCTTGTGTCGAGAGCAGCGACTGGAGCACAGAACGAAGCACATTGCTCTCCGCTACTTCCTTGCTCGTGAGCTACAGCAGCGTGGACAGTTGCGGCTTGCGTACGTGGCCTCTGAGGCCAACACGATTGATGTTTTCACCAAGGCACTTGCGCCTTGTGATCATCAGCGCTTCTGCACTCAGCTGGGTCTTGTCTCTGTTCTGCCTCACTTGCTCACCTCTTGACCTTGCTTGTACTGTTACATATATATATACCTGCTCTTGCTTGTCTAGCCTTATATGTATATATATGTACTCCTGCATGTGAACTGGCCTTGTGGCCTTGAACTTGTGCTCTGAATGTTTGGTGACTTTGTGATTCACCCTGAGCTTTGCTTTGCTTTGCTTGACTGGTCTTGTGACCCCGTATTCTCCCCCACTTTGCCTATGGGGGTGTGTCAGAACATTATAGCTTATGCTGTTGTGTAGGCTATAGTGGGGTATCCCTTAGGGGGTACAACCGAATTAGGGTTTCCTATATGTACTCACTTCATTCATAGTTCATTCATTCTCGTTTGCATTTCCACATCCCGCACACCTGCGTGCGCTTCCCGCACACCTGCGTGCCCTTACCGCACACCTGCGTGCACTTACCGCACACCTGCGTGCACTTGCCGAATCACTCTGTTCGTTTACTGCATCTCTCTCCCCTTCACCTGTGCACCAGTCCCACACCATTCCTACTGCACTTGGCTCCCGGCTCAGCGGCTGGCAGCCGCTCTTCCCTCTGGTAGCGCCACCTAGGTTCGTTTAGAGCCCCGCCCCACGACTATTTTCTCGCCGACTGTCTCTCGTCGTTTTTCCCGCTGGCGTTCCTAGCCCTCCGTGGTTTTCCTCCTTGTTCTTAGCTTCGCCTCCGCCGTGCTCCAGTCGCCTCTAGCATGGGCTCCGCTATGGAGGCCCGTCGCCTCCGTTTCGATGTTGAGGGATGCCCGATCGAGTTCGGTACCTGGCAACGCCAGACCACACGTTTCCTCACCTGCCAGCGTCAGGACGGCGCCACTCTGTGGGCCCACGCGTCGGGTGCTCTCGCGGCACCCCCGTCCCCCGCTGCCCTGCCGACCGCCCCGGAGCCGACTCCTACGGCCCAGGCGGACTACGACCGTCGGGTCCTGGCTCGGGACGTGTGGCTCTCTCGTGACGCGGCCGCCGCCCTCACGCTATCGGAGCTTTTCCCCCCGACTGAGGCCGCTCACTTTGACCAGGTGGAGACAGCCAAGGGGTTTGGGATGCTATTGTGGCTCGCTATTCCACCCCCTCCTCCGCCTCCCTCAGTCGCCTCCTCATGCCGTTCGTGTTTCCTGGCCTAGGCTCGTTTGCGACTGTTTCCGACCTAGTGACTCACCTCCGCTCGCTTGACGCCGGTTTTCGTTCGGCCTGTACCGACGCACAGCTCCTTGTTGCTCCCCCCCCCTATGTGGCTCACTGTGCACTGGTTAGTCACCCGCCTCCCTGACCGCCTTGCCATTGCCCGCGATGCGCTTCTTCAGAAGCACCCCACTGAGCTCACTATACACCTCCTTCAGACTGCTCTCGGGACCATCGAGAGCAGCCTCCTCACCGTTGCCTCCACCACTGATGCGGTGGCCCCCTGTCTCTTTGCAGGGTGTGCCGCCCCTCAGCTTCCCACTTTCACCTCTACCCGCGCTTCTGCTGCTGTGTCGGTCTCTGAGGACACCGCTGCCGTTTCTGCCGCAGACTGACAGAAACGGGGCAAGAGTGGCAAAAGGGCGGGAAGGGGGGAGGTGGGGGCGGTGGAGGTGGCGGTGGAGGTGGCGTTGGAGGTGGGAGCGGCGGTGGTGGCGGAGGCGGCGGCGGCGGAGGCGGTGGTGCGCCAGGGGGAGGGGGCCTTGGAGGAGGTGCATGACAGACATGCCCACCCACAGGTGGTGGCCCGACTGGTGGGGGCGTTGCCCCATAGCAGCAGCAGCCACAGCAGCACCAGCCACAGCAGGGACAACAGCAGCAGCAGGGACAGCAGCAGCAACAGGCACCGCAGCAGTTCCAGCAGTGGAGGCCCCCGCTGCGGTGGGGTCCGCAGCGGCACTGGGGTCCCCCGCCGCAGTGGGGTCCGGGAGGCCCTGGGAGCACCGGCCGCAGCAGCAACTCTTCTAGTTGGGCCCCTCGCCCCCCTCGCCGTGACGCTGGCCCCTGCACCCACTGGTGCCTCACCGGGCCGGGCAGCCCCTGTCTCTGTGGTCGTGACGACCACTCTGCCGCGCGGTGCTTCCGCCGTCTCGACGACCTCTACCGGGCTTGTTGGGGCCGTCTGGCGGTCACGCCTCGCTGGTCTCGCCTGTTAGCCCGTAAGATTGA